ACCTCGCCGCATTTATATAAAGCTTTCAATACTTAAATTTTCAACAATTGTACTTTAATTAAAAAGGGTATTTTCTTTATTCAAATGATTTCTAAAAATAACTTCATCATTTCTTGTTGATTTCCTAATTGAGTTGGAAGTTGTACTCTACTTTATATTAAGTAAATGAGGCTCATTGGACATTTTTTTTATTGTATTGGGTTATGGAACATATGAACTGAGTAACCTGCTTATATTGTTGTGCAATGTGAGACAGAAATATATGGGCACAAGGTGTCGGGGAAAATATTATGGTTTTATTTAATGGCACGTGAGTTGTCCGTGTGGTTGTGTTATAAATCTGAGCACGAGGTGCCGTAAAATTTTGAAAGTGGGCTGAGATCTATATTATTTATGATTATGAAATGAGGCGTCACAAGGTGACCTTTACTCGAAAGAATTATATTCGAAAGGTGCTTATTTGAAAGCTATTTATTTGAAGGAAATATATATATATTTATTGAAAAGAATATTATCTTAGAGATTATTACTTGAAGGATTTATAGGCCAAAAGATTTATATTTGAAGGATTTGATTAATTGATTACACCTGTATTTATTATTTGTTGAAAAACATTTGTGTTGTTCTTGTTGCCTGCTATTTATATCACTGGTTGATCATTTTTGCCATCATTGTTATCTGCTTCCTATTATTTTGTACGCTATCTTGCACAGTTTATTTGATAGTCTGGTGCTAGCCTCGTCACTAATTCGCCGAGGTTAGGCTAGACATTTACCAGCACATGGGGTCGGTTGTGCTGATACTATACTTATGTACATTTTGTGTACAGATCCAGGTATTTGATTGATAGTAGCTATTCGTTGCGGTGAAGACTCAAGGTAAACCTGCTGCAGCGTTCGCAGTCCTCAGAGTCACCTTCAATTGTACTTATTTTCATTTGTTCCCTTTGTTTCGAAGCAGTGATGTATTTATTTTGTATAACTACTCCTAGAAAGGCTTGTGACTTGTACTACCGGTTTTGGGAATTGTATTTTGTTCAGAGTAATTTAATTTGAAGTTAGTAAATACCCATATTATTACAGTAAATGTTAGGCTTACCTAGTTTAGAGACTAGGTGTCATCACGACTTCTTTGGAGGGATTTTTGGGTCGTGACAGTCCGTTATGTCTCCAATGAACAAATTAAAGAGATAGTAAAAGTTAATATGGTCAAATTCATTGTTTATTAATACGTATTAAAAGGTGATCGTAAATTCCTTGCGAAAACAACGAAAAATCAATTAATGTGGACGGAATAGAGTAATTAATTTCATTTATCAAGCATTGTCCTTCCTTTTCAATTACGAGTATTTGATGAAAGAATACATAGTTAAATCGGTCTCATTTTAGTACTATTAATAAAGAGAAGAGGAGTTTTGTCAAAGCCAAAAGAATGTCGTTTAGTATGAAATTAAGTGATCCACCAGTTTATATTTTACAAAAAAAAAAAAAAAACAAAGTATAGTGATTAACAGACAGAATTTTGAAGGGAGTCAGTCAGGGTGAAAATCAAAACATTGGAGAATTAAGGAGAAGAACATGGGCAAGTGGTAAACTGTCTTGAATCACTCAATCTATATATCATCTCGATAATACGATGAAAATAATAAATATCATGCTTGATAATATAACCCTTTGTAACTTTACAGTTAGGTTTTTAACAAGCAAGTCCACAACACGAGGGAACGGTCTCCCATTAATTTTTTATTTATCAGTGGCTGCTCCTTGTTCACCTTTGCTGTAAACAAGTACGTTTGAGTTTAAGTTATATGTACCGTTATTATAAAAATATTTTTATATTATTGTGTTATTCAAAGCATATTGACACATGTTTTCTTAAAATATGAAATTTATAATTTTAAAAATAAGATAAGTTATAGGTAAATTTTTTTTATACATAACGATGTAGTACAAGTTTTTCACCCTACGCGATTTCTTAAGCTTTAATTTTAATCTCAAGCCTCTCTTTTTTGAGTGTAAACATGCAGTCATTGAAAAACTAATTACTAAAGCCAAGTTTGACTCGAGGAGGGAAAAGAAATAGAAGTTGAAACGCAGCTAATTATTCCATCTTGAAATGGTTTACTAACCGCATATAATTTGATTATTTTATTTTTTTTAAAAAGAAATAAAATGTCAAACAGTTGCGAAGAAATTTTATGGCGTTTCTAAAATTTGATTGAAAATTTTTATCTCCCAAAAAATCTTTACACTTTTTGAAAACACTGAAATTCTTTTTTACCTAGCGTAATTGAACACAAGTTTTTCGTTCTTTAATGAAAACTAAAATTGTTTGACAAAAATTCGAAATGATATTTTTTTACTAGAAAATGACTGGTGAATAATTTTGAAGCTTAAATTAATTATTGGCGATCACTATGAAATTGAAATGTGCCAAAAGGAGAGTCAGAACTTACAGCTGAAATTACTTTTACCTAGGATGATGGAGTCTTGAAATTAGTCGAATTAAATGTGGTCTGTGGACTATGCCCTAAAGAACGTACATTAAATAACACGGACAAAAGTTTCGAGATTAAAGTGTGAACTTCTCTCCTTGTCGGGAGAGGTCCAAAGTCTTAAACGTCGAAAGACAACAAATATGAATTAAATGATTCCATCCGTCTCATACTGTGTTTATCTTTTATATGCCCTTTAAGAAATATTAAATAGAAAAATGATTGGACTATTCTTTCCTTATTTATGTTTTAAGATATAATCTCTCTTCATTAAATATTTATTTTATTTATGTGTTATCTTAATGTTCAAGAAAAATTATTACTATGGGTAAAAAAGAAAAAAAAATAATCAATTTTGTCTTAACTTCTAAAATGACAAATAATTTGAGACAATTATTTTTAATAATCACGATAATTAATATGAGACGAGGGAGTACATTTTACTATTAAACTCATTTAGTGGTCTCATTGATTCCTAGCTCAAATGAAGAAGAAACACAAAGATTACCTAGTATTTTCAAACATAATGAACTAATAAAGTTAGATGGAAATAATAATACCTAGTATTTTCATATTTTCCTTAATAATAATTGTTCCTGAAGATGAAAATAGCACATAAATAAAATAAATATTCAATGAAAAGAGATTATATCCCGAGACATTAATAAAGTTAAAATAGTCCAAAATCCCTTCTAATTAATGTATTCTTAAGGATGTGTAAAAGAGAAACACGGCAAATAATTTGAAACGGAAATTGTGTATTTAGCTCAAATAAAGAGAAAAATGCAAAGATTACCTAGTATTTTCAAACTTAGTGAACTTACTTTGTATATTTAGCTCAACTAAAAGAACAAAGCAAATTGGTTGTCTAAGAAGTAAGAATAGAGATGTAACCTAAATATAATTTGCTGTGCACCTCTGGAATTGTATCTTCGACTGTACGGAAAATGAAGCAACTGATGTTTTTGGGATTCTACATGGGATGTCTTGCAATTTTGAGTCTTGGCCCTGGCAATTCGGTAATTTTGTTGGTATTTCAATTTCTGGGATTTTGAAAAAGAGAACAGTTGTTTGCCTTTTTCTAAACATAGCCACATGAAAGCTAGAAAATTCTAATTAAAAAAAAAGGTCAATCGTTTTACTTGGGCTGTAATTTTTTATTCCGGCGGTATTTCAATCAGTTTGTGTACAGCTCAATTATTCTACCAAATACATTTTACACGTTATCTTCCACCAATACAATTATTAAATAATTCTGCCTATCAAAATTCAGGCAGACGAAAAAAAACCATTACATGCATTCGCCAGCGTTAAATTTCGTTCCATTGCGTTCTAATCAAGATCACAATGAGAAAAAAGAAGAAAAAAATAAATAAAAAGGGGGTCGCAAATGTACTAATACATTAGCACAAAATTGAGTAGTTTAGCGCGTCTTGATCCTTGCCAATTAAACCATTTGATAAACTGAAGGCTAGATATTGAAGCATGAAGTTTGAAGCTTATGTCAATTAGGGGTGTCAAATGGGCGGGTCAAAATAGGTTGAGTCAATAATTGGGCGGGTCAAATGACCCGCCCAAAAGTTACTTGGGCTAAGATGAGTTGGGTCAAAATGGGTTAAAATTCGGGTCATAACCCAACCCGCCCAACTCTTATTAAACTTTAATTAATATATGTTATTTTCTTATAAATTGTATAATTACTAAATAAGGATTTTTTGCTTTTGTTATGGTCATATTTAAAATATTAAACAAAAAATAAAATTATTTCTCAGATATTTTGACAAACTTACTCATGGATCAATTTGAGGTAAAAATTAGTCCAACTATAATTGGATTGAGATGGGTTGAGTCAAGATGGGCTAAGTTCAATAAATGGGCGGGTCAACAACCAACCCAACCTTGGACGGGTTGGACGGGTCATTTGGGCTTGGGCCAAATTTGACAGCCCTAATGTCAATAAACCTTTTAAATGATTATAACAAATGTTAAGAGCTTTCTAAAGAAATAGTTTCTTAACCGCAATAGCAACGCTTGGGATGATTTTATGCACGGCCTATTCCCTTTAACATTGTGCGGTTCTGGGGAAATTAATGTGTATTGTGTGGATCCTGTCACTGTAATTCGACTAAAACAGACAATAACATAACTTATACTAGATAATGGATCTAAAGCTAGCTGCGGACTGCGGTTTATGTAAACTTACAATTTATACTATCACATAATCGGGCGAGGTAATCAGGCAAGACATGACACGATTTCCGAGGACATGACCCCAGATAGGAAGGTGTAGAGATCGAGCATTAGGGTTGTAGGTTAGGGGATAGTTCAGTGTTTTTCCTTGTCCAAGCTAGTCTGATAGTGTTTTGTCTAAGACTGCTAGCGGTTGATGTTGTTGTTACTAATACTTTCTACGGTATAGGTTTTACTTAATATACTCAGCAACCTTCCAACTGTAATCATAAATAAAATGATTGTTAAAATAATTATGCTATTTATGCAATCCACAAGGATAAAATGAAATTCTTTGAAAGTTTAATATTCATATCCACAAGATTGTACGGATTAAAAGGATTGCCCAATAAAAGGAAAGAAATTCTAAGATAAGTAATTTTTCTTTGAAGGTTGCTTCCTCTTAGCATGAGTTTCACTTGTAGAATTTGACTTGCTACTGTTTCCATCATTAAAATTAGCAGGGTCTACATAGGACTGGTAACCAGGAAACCTGAGGCGAAATCGAAAAAATAAAAAATAAAAAAGACAGCAAAAATAGCTAATGAGGCAACAAAAGATATGCCAGATTAGAACATGCAATATTTTCACACATATTACCTGCTCACTTTTGTGGTTTCTCCATCTTTAGTCATTTTTACATCAAATATGTTTCCTGCAAACAATTATCAGTGAACTCAATCATGTCTGAAGCTTTTTGGGAAGAAAATGGTAGGGCTGAATTCTAAACAATTCTTAGATTATAAGTGCCAAACTGAAATTGATCTAAAATAAAAGAAATACCACGACAAAGATAAAAATTTCCTTTTGTTGTGCATGTCGAAAAACAAAAAGCAAGACAAAAGAGGTAGCAGACTCACCAAAAAGATCATCCCTGTTGGAAAAGTTTATGACTTAAGCAATATGTGCTGGTTCTCAATCAAAAAAAATTTACTATACAGGCCGTAAGTCCGAGGAAGTTAATCCTATAGCGATTAATTTACTACTGCTGCAACGGAATAAACTTTTCTTTAGCTGAAGGTCTATCGGAAACAGCTTCTCCGCCCGTCCAGGTAGGGATAAGGCTGCGTACATCCTGCCCTCTTCAGACCCCACTTGTGAGAATACACTGGGTTGTTGTTGTTGTCGCAAGGGGATAAACAGATCCAAAGTAAAGTACCAAACTACAGTATTGAATATGCACTTCCTAATGACAATAAATGACCCTGATCCTTCACTGTATTGTCTTTATATTTTTTGAGAAAGGATGTCTTAAATAGTTTTCTTGACAAAATAAATCTACAGTAGCATCTCTTTTTAGGGAGAAAGAGTAGAAAAAGTAGACACAAAGGTAAAACACTAAAACAAGAATAAATATATGAAGGTACTCAATTTAGGTACAGGAAGAGAGGTAAAACTAATGGACGCTATTCTGACCCCTAAAACACATAATTGAGACGTGGATAAGAGCATCCGCCACAAGTGAGCAAATGCAGTTCACACTAACCACAGTGCGTATTGACATACAAATGCAATTATTAAACCCCAGCGTGAATCAATAAAAAACTGAACCCTTCTGGTCTAATACTGATAACCAAGATGCATCGTGTGTCTAAGGAGTGTTTACCTCCAAAGATATTCTTGTCTGAGAAGTACTTGGACATCAAATATCTCCTGCACTCAACTTCGTACCTCTTGAACTTCTCAATCTGTTGCTGCTCCATATGGCTACATGATGAGACAAAGAAAGTTGGGACCTTGAGAGTTACATTTAACATGTAGATGACTTACACTGGAACAAATTGAAATGAGTGCTATAGCAGGATATTGAAGGCTCGTAACATAATAGGAAACTGACAGAGAGGTTAATGCATTCCAAAAGTTTATTTTTGCAGGGAAGATAAGTATCAATTTTACATAATCTCGTGCCGCACGGAAGCAAATTGGAATGATGAAAGGGAATTAATCAATGTCTATTCAAATACATGCTGTCACACGCTTCTCTAATGCAACTAGTAGCCAAATGAGCAATACCTATTGATCCTTCGTTTTGGGAAAGTATTAGAACCTTAGCTTATTTTTAAGATTGCATCTTTTGTCAACATTCTTATTAGTTACCACCAATCCAACCCACCGGAAGAAGGAGATGAATTGGTGCCATATTTTATATGTTAAGCTCCAGATATATTAGAACAATTGCAAAGAGGCCTTTATTATATGTGATAAAATTTTACATCATAAAGCTTCAACTTGAACAACCAGGCAAAAATCTAAAGGGAATAGGCACAAATGGATAAAATACATGTAAACCTACACAGGATAATCCATAATCACAAATGTAGCAGCAAAAGGATAGAGGGAAAAGAAATAAAAGAGAACAGGATATCCATTCAACCAGACAGGTAAAATTTCATGCACGCATTCAATAGACAAAAAAGGACTTTATTGAAAGATGGCGTTAACCTAGGTACCTTGCAAGACTGCGGCGACGCTAACACAGAAGTGAAACCTACTGTCTTAGCTCTCTATCCTTATATATATGCGCGGGGACAATTTAGCAAGTCAGATTATATTAGTAAATTCCAACCTATAGAAATAAATAAATTAGCAGATAATATCCATGTTTGAGCATTTGGAACAGGCATTTTCTAGTGAATTTTGACTACTGGAGCTAGCTTAGAAGTTCAGACTTTCCAAATGTGGCCCAAACAAAAAATCCCTTCTTACTGGGCCCACCAAGAGCCCAGTCCAATGAAACTGAAACTCTGGGCTACCACAGCATAGCCTGGATAGAACAGCAAGACGGGTATGAGAGGAAAGTCAAATAAACAGTTTAAAGAAGCGTAGATCACGGATTGTATCGACTATAAATGATGAAATACACACTTCATAAAGTAAAGAAGTATGCAGCTGTCAGCATAGAGAAGATAAATTCATTTTATTATTTATAGGACCGAGAAAATCAAACTAGGGATGATGAAACACAAACACCTGCAGGATGATACAAATTAATGGCTACTTAACAAGTTTTAAATATTGTTATACAAAAGAGTGTTTACCAGAAGATAGGATAACTTATTCAAGATTGTATTAACAAGCAGTAATTTTAACAATCTGGTTATAGCTAACCAAACAACTTGCTGATTCTTGTTGTGTCACCAAACAAGTTTTTAAGTTCATTAGTAGTAGAAGAACCGAAGGTTTATAGAGTACTTAAAATTCTGTAACTATTCAAGAATTGGAGTATCACATTATTCTCCTGTCAAAACCTTTATGCCTTTGTTAGACCTGATCCTAGGATTTCATCAATCCGTGACGTGACGGATTACACTTCTGCGGTCTGCCAGAAAGCACATTCGGAATGAAAACTTGAGACTGTCCACTAGCCAAGAAACCTTGTTGGGTCTATTCTAGCATACAAGCTTAAAGCCAAGTTTTTCAAGTGGTTTGAGAACCTAAAGGCTCAAAACCAACTCATAATTCTATATAATTTTCAAAGGCATAGCGTCTAACATTGATAGTTGAAGAGCTTTACGAATGAATTACAAAGAAGAGTAAAGAGCAAGTAGGTAAATAATAGATAAGTGAAGAAGATTTGATGCTTTATTTATAATTTCGATTGTAAAACAGAGAAGTATCTTTGTGCTTCCTAACTTTGCGATGAGAGGTACTTTCCAAATTTTTCCTTTAGTAAATATACATCATTATCTGGATTTTAGAGTAATTGTAACACATAACTCGCATTCCGACATATATTTTGGATATCGACTAACCGATTGCTACAGAGTAAAGAGTTAACAACCAGTTCACTACTTGTTTATGTCTGATTGTGGCAATTGAAGCCAACAATGTCCTAAAGCATTCTTCCAAAGCCAACAATGAGAGCTCTAAAGGATTAACAAAGAATACCATAGTAAGAGAATCTCTTAAAAGTTACAGCAGGTTAAATTCATAGTAAGAGCATGATATTACCAATTAACTCTTCACAGATATCCATGTAGACAAAAAATCACAGCAAGAAGTAACACAAAAACATTCAGCTCAATGATCACACACACATAATAAATACGGAGTACGACAAGAGATAAGAACATAAAATCGCACCCAAGGGTTTGGCCTAGCGGTCATTGATCATTGATGTGGGTGAAAACCTTGAAGACAAGAGTTCAAATACCAGCAAAGACGAAAAATACTAGGTGATTTCTTCTCATACGCGAGACTAGACAGCCTCACTCAAACAAGAACTGTGACACTTAGAGACCTCCTGTAGGCAAACAAGAAAAGGGAAGAGAGAAAAATAAGAAGACAAACGACTTTAAGTTGCACTCCACGATCTCAATTTATATGACACTTTATATTTTGGGACGTCCAGAACATTTGACACTATTTATTTCTATACAACTTTCCAGAATTCATATTTATTAAACAATTTGAAAGTTTAAAGATTGTAGCTTTTCAACCATTTCTTTAATAGTCACTTCTATTAAAAAGAATAACTTCTATTAAAAAGAATACTTCCTCTGTTTTCAATTTAAGTGAACCAATTTGATTGGGAAAAAATAAGACTTTTAAAGGTAGAATTGACAATTTACGCTAAATTGTTTACAAATTTAGAAATGTATCATTCTTTTTGGAACAGACCAAAAAAGAAATAGGTTCACATAAATCAAAACGGAGGGAGTAATAAAATAATGACTATGCTTCATTCCTAAATAAGTTAGTATCCTTTATAAGAATACTCACTTCCCATCGAAGCTCAACTCATGTCATCTTCATGTCAAATAAAATAATAATAATAATAATAATAATAATAGTTATTATTATTATTATTATTATTATTATTTTACAAGTTCTCTAACAAATCTAAAACTTTCCCAACTAGTAAATATCAACTAATATGGATATTTAATATTCACTTCTACTATTACTAAAATGGGAAGGGGAGGAGCAAACTATTACATTCAGGTATAGGATTTATTGAAAAAGATCCTTCTGGGTATGCGAGAGAAACCTGATATTCTTGAGCGGCGGAGGACATGGAGGAGTTAGAAACAGAATCTACAGATGAAGAAACCATTGAAATACAAGTTTTGGATATCTCGAGTTTGCATCTATTTGCACCCATTACTACACAAAGGACTAAAACTTAGCTCACAGTCAACAATGGGTGTATGGTTCTCTTCTCTTCCTCTACAGTGCAGAAAAAAAGGTTTATGGCAAATCTTTTTCTGCTGGGTTGATTTCAAAAGACTGAAATTGATGAGGGGCAAAAGTGAAATAACCATTAAATCGAGGTAAGATTAAGAAAAAGCAAAATGGCCAAATTTATCCTTTAACTTTACGAAATAGTTTCAACTTATCCTACGTTAATTAATAGCTGGGATCAAATGTACCCTTAATGTGCAAAATGAGCTAAATTCACCCTTATTGATTAACAACATAAGCTTTCTAACACGTGGTTTTTTTTATAAAAACAAAATGATCAAAGTTGTTTTATTCGATCATGGAATACTAATTGAATATAAAAAAACAAAATTCATTTCGACTCTCATTCAGTTTTACAAATTTGTGAAATGTAAAAAGAATTTTGAATTTTGTGAACACAAAGTTTAAAAAAAAAAATTTCATTTGTCAAAGTTTAAGTGGGCGTAAATTAAAACGATAGAAGGTAATAGATATCCGATGAAATAATTAATTTCGATGAACGATCAATACTATATACGGTTGAGATCGAATGCCTTCGATCTATATACTCGAGAGGTCGTCCGAAGTCCGAGGCCGGGTAAGACCAAGTTCGAGTTCGAAGACATAGTGCAATACCCGGGGATGGGAGTTTGAGGAATACCGGGCCAAGTATGCTCGACCCCCGAAATAGTACTGTTATGGATTTGTACTAGAATGAGCTAGATTCTTGCCACGTTCCCAAAGTCATGGCGCAAATCCCGGAATACGATTGTATGATTCCGTACTAGGCGGTTAGACAGTTGTACCAAGAATATTCCTTACTGTAAATAGAAATATACCTTATTTAAGGATTCCCCTATTATATAAAGGGGACCCCAACCATTTGTAAAATCATCTAATCATTGAGCAAAGAATATACTCTCTACTTTTTCGCCTACTGTTTATCAGCATTGTCCTTTAGCTCTAATGTTCTTATTTTACTTTTCTTCTTTAATTGTTCTTATTGCCCAGAGCCATCTCGAGGTCACTACTGCTAAGTAACATTGGTTTGATTCGCTTCTATCTTTCATTTCTACCTCATATTTCTTGATTATTAATTGGTATTGAACTAAATCACATATCTTTAAAATCACTAATCAAATTTAATTGTTACTTGTATTTTCGAGGTAAATAGTTTGGCGCCCACCGTGGGGCTAAAGATAATAGTGATTATCTCTTTACTTATTTTCATTACACACGTTGCTTTTACACTTTTTCTTGTCAAGATTTTTTGATTCTCAGGCTGAAACATGTCTAGCTCACAAAACGCACTCATTCATGACAACGAAGGTCTTGGAGAAAACAGCAACACAGGAGTCGGTGTACTACCGATAAACCTAGAGGAAGTGCCAAATGTGGAACCTATTGATGTTAGTTCACACATTGCTTTGAATGCAGATCTAGGTGCGGACCCCGAAGGAGATGTACGCATGAAAGCCCGGTCTGGTGGCCAAAGAACACAAGGAATGGAAGAAGGGGGAGTGAGCCTCCAAGTGATATTCGAGATGTTGCAAGCTTAGCAAATCGCCATCGCTCAGCTCCGGGGTCAGAATAAAACTTCAAACACAGGCGTGCTGAGCCAGCGCTAGAAAAGCCCAGTAAAAGTGGCTCAGGGACTGACCCCACGATTGTGAGGATGCTCGAAAAGCTTACTAAGAGGATCGAGTCCGGGGAAAAGAAAATTGAAGACAACGATAAGAAAGTGAAAACTTACAACTACCGTGTTGACCAAATGTCGGGGGCACCTCCAGTTTTGAGAGGTTTAGATGCCAAAAAGTTCATACAAAAACCATTACCTCCGAGTGCGGCTCCGATGCCCATTCCTAAGAAATTCCGCATGCCCGATATACCCAAATATAAGGGGACAACCGACTGTTGATACCCAATTTTTTACTGTATATTTATAATATGCAAAATACTTTCAAAATAGCATGAATATATATATAAGTATGTCCCAAGGTCTTAACATTTTTTCTCTTAATTTTAAGGATTTTTAAATCAATTTATTGCCTTATTTTAGAAAGAAAAACTCAATAATTGTTCCCAAAACTATCATTTTGGTGATTCATCTATTCGGTTCTCATATTTGAATTAAATATAGCTAACATATTTTTTTGCATATTTTTTTATAAATTTATTTAGTATTTTTAAAGCTAAATTGCATGTAATTGCGATAATAGCCTTTTTTAAGATTTAATGGTGTTTGTATTTATAAAATTAATTTCAGTATTTTTAATTGGATAATTATATATTATTAATCATTTTAGTACCTTTAATTTACTCCCATAAATTATTTTACTATTTTTATAAATTAAACAAGGGAAAAAGTGGCTATTTAAATGTTAGCCCATTTTATTTCAATTGTGGCCAGATTTGAATCCCTAATTAAACCCAATCTCAAACCCAATTACCCAGCCCAAATCCTAAATCTACCCAACACACAACGCATTTTAATAGCCCGCCCGGATCCCCATTTAATCCAGGCCGTTGATCAAAATGATCAACGACCACCATTCACCCTTCCTAAATTAAACCAAACGACCCCCCCAAGCCCCTCTCATTTCCCTCACTCAATCGACTCTCTCTCTATCTCTCTATCTTTGGTTCTCTCTAGAACCTTCCCCTTCCCCCTCCTCTCTGATGAGTCTCATCCATCTTCTCCGGCCATCTCCTGGCCTGAATCTATGGTGATCTCACCACCTACCAACCTTCCATGGTACATACACGCTCGTTTGCTGAGGTTTTATGGCCTGACCACGAAGAAGCTTTGTCCAGGCCTCATTGATTCAAGTTTTATGTCCATCTCCGGCCTCGCTCCGGCAAGCTATGTCTATTTCGAGCCTCGCTTTGATTCCTCCTTCTTTGATCCAGGCCTTTCTCACCGTTTGGATTCCTCTGAAACCCTAGCTTTTGAGGTTTTTCTGATCTCCTTAGATCTGTTCCATATCCATGTTTTCCCTAAGTTTTTAAACGATTTCTTAATATTTCTTTCAAAGCTATGTTTTCGAAACCCTTATTTTTTTTCCGACCTAGGGTTTCTGAGTTATTTAGAGGCTTCTCTGATTTTCTTTTTCTTTTGTGTGTTTTTTTACTACGTTTCTTCTACTATGTTCTCTGTGAGTTTCTTATTAAGTTTCTTCCACTGTGTTCTTAATTAGTTTCTTCTACCATGTTTCTTTATATGCTTCTCTTACTATGTTCTGATTAGTCTTCTTCTACTATGTTTCTTATTAGCTTCTTCTACTATATTTCTTTGAGCTCTTCTACTGTGATTCGCATGTTACTCTTTTACTATGTTTCTCATGAGTTTCCGTTACTGAAAAAGCATGTCGAAGGCCCCATTTCCCTTCTGAGATCTTTGAACTTGTTTTCATTTAGTATCTTCTTCTTGATTACTTGTCCTCTCATCTCGGCACTCGATTGATGGTAAAACCCTAGAATTTGGGGTTCATCCGAGTTTGAGAACATTGGCTATGTGATATGTTTGTTCTTCATCTTTAAAATTGTCTGATTTCAGAAACCCTAACTATTTCGAGTTTCTGAATTTTTTCTCAACTGAGTCTCGAAATATTTCAACCTCTGTCTCTTTAAGCAATTCTGATTTTCCACTGAACTCTTCTAAGGTCTTTTACACTGGACATTTTGTATGCTATTTGATGCTACTTCTCTTCTACATTGCTAACCTATGTGACTATCATGCTCTTGTAGTCTATTATCCACTGATTTTGCAATGACACGTCATTTTCTTTCAGCTTGGCATGTTTGTATGCTCTTTATATGTGCTGAAATTCCCTTTAAAATGGCTTTCAAATTTGTGATTAGTTCAGACTTCCTTTTGTATAGGTTTGATTGATTTCTTTCCTTGTTGGGTGATT